ACTCCGCCATAGTAGCAAAACACAGGACTATTGTATAATCTATGCATGAAACAGTAAGTATTCAGCGACTGAAGGGTCACTATTCCCCCTAAGCATTCCTACAGATGACTGCAGGCTGAGAGCAACCCCCGACACTCAGAGGAACTGAAGCAAGCACAAAACAGCACATCCTTTGTGCTAACATTCACCTACACCACATGTTGGACCCAGAACGGCACTGCCTTGCTGGGATCGTGTGACATCAGAGAACTCCACACCCTCCCCAGCAGTCCTGGGCAGTGGGAGACGACAGAGCTGGGTTCTTTCAGTTTCTGCCGACGGAGACGAGCAACGCTGGTTTAAAGTATGTTCAACATAGCAGAGGCACACACAGGCGTGCACATGTTAAAATGGGCTAAAAGACTACCAGAGAAACAGTATCCCCTCACTGTGCGCTGCTTCTTTCCTTAAGGCTGAGTGAAACAATACTGCACAAGCCTCCCGAACTGAGATGTTCTGCTTCTCCTGTTTCATTTCATTTTTTTTTCTGTCCCCCTGCAAACTACAGTGACAGCCTTATAGGGTCACAAGCCCCAAGCTCTTAACCTTTATTAAAAAAAAAGCCTTTACCCTGAAAACCAAGACATGAAATGAGATATTTTGAAAGTGTGGTCTTTAGCGATTAGCGAGGCATATTTAAAACAAATAATGCAACTGAAAAACAGGGTTTGGAAAGTCCACAAAATGCCCAAAGAGAACAAAAAAAAAAGAAAAGAAATAGGTGTCGTTGTATAAATACATCAGAACATGAAAATTTTAAAAATATCAGTATAACTTCAGACTTTCAGGGTTCGGGCTGGATTCTCAATGGCTTTCTGTTCAACATTAGCCCAAAAGAAAGGAATCTATATCACTTTAAGCATTAAGGAAAGAATTAGACCTACACGAGTGAACCATTTGTTTCCTTCTTTTTTTCCCCCCATTAATACATACACAAAAGAAATAACAAATTAGCTGACACAGAAAGTTTCTGTCTGCGTACAATATCTTATTCCAAACATGTTGGCAAGAGTTCTTAAACAGATAGCTTGGATATTACATAGAACAAGTAAAGGTTAATTCCATGCTGAAAAATAGAAAGGAGAAACAATGTTTCTGCTGTAGAGATTGTATTGGTTTAGATACTAAAATACATTAATTCTTATGTTACATGACTGTAGATCTTAGATCTCATTCTTACAGAAATAGTAAATGTCAAGTACTTAACTAACAACTACTTAACAAAGTTGGGGCTTAATCCAACTTTATATTTATCCAGAATGCCTTTCATGTAAGACACAAGTAATGCAAATACATATTGAAATGTGATGATGAAAATCTCAGGGGTTCCGATGCGAAGTGATTCTAATAAAAAACACAAAATGTGTGGGATCACTTTAATTCCAAAAACACAAATGAACAAAAGGCACCTGATTATTCCAACTTTTTTTTTAACTCACCTGAAGTGAAACATGTCTTTTTCATTTACATATTCTATATTCTGCTTTTATGTGGAAATTAAAAAGGCACATGACTCAATAATATACAGTAACTAACCCACAAAAAAAATTAAAAAAACAGCAAAAAGGTAGCCTACATTAGTTTCAGTTCACGTTATTGTTCAGACATTGTCTTTTCAGTCCTCCAGAAATGCCAACTTGCGAGTAATTTAGTGATTTACAGTGAAGTTCAGAAATTATGATACCCAAAATTCATACGTGTTTTAAAAGGGAGATTAAGACTGTAGCGCAAGACAATCAGTACTGCCTTTCCTCTTTCAATCCCAGTAATGTAAATGCTATTTGCTAGAGAGGTCTCTACGTTCAAACTCAAAAATATCACACAGACTTAAAATTAATGATTTTTCAGAGAAACAGATGCAGCCAATTAGAGGAAAATGCAGATATTTCACACATACTGCACTTTCTAAATAAATGTGTTCCTATAACTTGAATCATTTTCAGATCGGACTGACAGAATTTCTATCTTGCCCCCTCACTGAAACCATTGCTAAGCAACACCTCAACACAAAGTATGAAGGGTATAATCTCACTTCCGTGGGAAGCGAAACTTTCAAATCAGGCTTTAATACATTTACTGCATATTCCTGGGCAACAACCTGAGTCTTAAATTCACATCTTTATAAACTACAGTGAAGCACCAAACACAGACCGGGGAAAAAAATTAATATGCTTTCTATGCCATGCACAAGTCCTCACTATGGCCAGTTTTTACTGCCTAATAACTAGGAAAATCACTGTCAGACAAGGACAGGTTCTGTAAAGTGATTAAAAGCCTTTGTGTCTCAAGACACCACGGCAAAACAAAAATGCCTACAGAAGGCATTGGGGTTCTCGACACAGACCTCTTTTATAACAGCATACATGTGACTTATAAGGCCAAACACATGTTTGGGGGGCATTACCAGTTCAAAGCCTGGCAGTGCCAGACTGCCATTTTTTCCTTTCTAAAGAATGACCCAGTATTCCCAGCAGGCTTTGCCTTCCTCTTAGGCGAGGGATGGACAAACCTCTGCATTGATCCCTTGCCAACAGGCACGTTTGGTGTGCCAAGGATTGACAGTCTAGCGAATTAGGTATCTGTCAATACCCAGGGCTCAGCAAAAGACTGGCATGAACCGGAGGCACCGGGCAGCATGAGAAAATGGAAACAAAAACCAGAAAGCCAACATAAGACTTAATCAATAATGAATTATTCTCGACAGCACGCTCAACACTGATCGCTCGCGGTTTACACTGTGCCGAAAGGGATGTTAATCGTTTGAAATAGGGATTATTAGAAAGGCTGTATTAGGGGATCAAAATGTATTTGCAAAAATGACCATCTACAAGAAGTTATCAGCCAGTGGGCGTATAATGAAGTAAACCAAAGCTCAAGTCACATTTGTGGCATAGCTGCTCTGCAGTCTGCAAGCAACAACAGTAAGTTGTTCGGTAAGGGTAAAAGCTGGTGTTGAACCTTCACCAGTTTGCAATGGGATAACATCACTGATCAGAGTGCGCCATCTTTAACCCCAAGTAGACAACAGCTGTCTACGGCAAAAAAAAAAACAGCTAAGTATATGCATGCGCCTCTCTCTATGTCTAATGGAATGCAGAATCTGTTCTCCCTCAAAATAATTTAATTTACTAGGCCCGCATCAGACACATATTCAACCCCTTTCTATAAATTATTCACACAGCTATCATAAATATTCACAAGGCAGGGCACATCACGCAGAATGTGAAGTCACATGCCTCAAGACCAGATAAAATCATATACACACGTACACATAAAAAGACACTTAAATGGACTTGCTCCTACTCATCATGCAACTATGCATCCTTTAAGATACATTTTTTTTAAATGCGTTTCCACAAGCACCTCACATTTTAGCTATTTCTTATAACCTGTCTCTCTGATTTCACTGAGAATCGAACAGTATTTGGAAACCATAAGACCCCGCTACACATTATTACGCCTTTTCCATCTTGTAATTCGTTAACTTACTCATTATCTGGCATCCAAAGCTCAATGTCTTACACTGCTCACACACCGCTGAACACAAAAACACCAAAATTCCTTTAGCGCCAACTAAAGCCCAAAACAGCATTCATTTTCTTACAAATATGAACAAAGAAATGAAAACTAAGGTCTGCATATTTCGTGCAGGTCAGGATATTAATTCATCCAGAAGACAAGCCCTGTTCCCCGGCTCTTTCATGTGTCCTACCTATGGCAGACCCAGACTAGCACAAATGGGTAAGAAACCCACCCTGTCTGTATTCATGAAAGACAAATCTGTCTTGTTTCTTGGCTGCTTAGCAACAAATTTGACCAAAGAAACTCAACCAGACACTTCTTGAAAGCAGGAACCATATGAACTTTGACAACATTATTGGGTGACTTATGTCCCAGGACCCTAGTTTATCTAAAGAGATACCTCCCGTTGAGTCATTTGAATTCACTTCCTCTTAGTTCCCATTCGTCTCCTCTAATCTGCATGTCACTGCTGATCCCGGAGATGTCCAGTAGGCTGCTTTTGTCAGTGCCTTCTGTAAGTTTTTAGATACTTGAACAAACCTCGGGCCTTGAGCTACAAATATCATCATCTCTAAAGAGAGAGAGATCCGAGATCTCTCTCTTGGAATGTCTATTTCCCCTGCACCGAATCTAAGCACAAATAAGCAGTTTAAAAAGAAAAATACACACCTTTAATCAGTTCTAAACAAAGGCAACAATTATTCTTCCATAGTGTAGAAGCAAAATATATTAATGATCCCCGCAGTCAGGCTGTCTGACCGTATTCCTGTGCATTTATTTTACCCATGGGTACCTCTCACCCCTGCAACTTGACGACTTACAGAAAAGTACTCTCGTTACAGAGTTCACTGTGCAGATCATCCACAAGGACGGATCAATCTGTACCAGCCAGCTACTTAAACTGACCCCTCGCAGATTTCTAGTATTTTACCGAGATTAATGAGACAGCGCCTATGCTAGGATTAACTTCAGATACTACCTACACGGAGGTACACACAATAATTAGAATAATAATATGATATGCAGGGGAAACTAACAAACAGAACTCAACCCTATCCGTCTCAAGCAAGTTCCTATCCTCGACACTGTGCTCCCTCTATACTGCTACAGGGCGATCAGCTCCAGCGATTTTCGCCAGTAACTTTTCTACACAAAGGGACCGGACACACTGCGCTGAGGCCACCAGCACAATCCCAACAAACACCACGCACTGCCCCGCAAACACGACCCCATCCGCACACGGCTACTCCAGCCGACGTGCTACCGTGGCCGAGTGTGTTCTACTACACGGAAACAAAAAAAAGGCACGCTCTGATATTTCACAGTCGCGACCGAGTCGAAAATAAGGGGGGAGCCCATAATTACTCAGCCTTCCCGGACCACTAATAAGTAGTGCAGGGATAATTTGTCTCCGTTTAAGAGACCCGGAAGACACTTACCGTGAAAAATAAACAAACTTTATCACCCCTGATGGCCTTCAGCTGCGGTCCTCCACGATAGCAGTATTTTAATCGACCGAAACAGGGGTTTTATTTAGTATTTTTCCCATCGATTGTTTTTCTCACTTCCTGATATTTGGCCGCCATCTTGATTTAGGCATACTTCCGTTGTGACGTCACTACCCTCCTGGTTTCTCGCAGTGATGTTTGTCTTCACCTGGATTGGGTTAGCATCGCAGCCGATTATAAAGAAATCTGAAATATTATAGGTAGTGCATGCTATTACCAACAAGGTAAAGGATATCCAGTTTGTTTCCACCTTTAAAAATCTTCTGAGTATCCTTTTATCGAGAGCTTTTTTTTATGCTCACTGCTTACGGTGTGTAATTTCTGAAGGGACTGCTCCGGTTTTTGATTCCTTGTAATAAATTAAACTATCTGGGACACATTCAGACATTTTTGCGCCTCAACATCAAAGGATCCAAAGCACCCGTCTAATTTAACCACATGAGTGTAATCCTTCTGTACAGTGATCAGTACATATTGTTGTTACTGTACATATTACTGTAATCCATATAACATATCACAGTCTTCTCAGTTGATCCCTACAGTTTCAATGTACAATATAAACATTTTTAGCAAACGGACTTTTATGAGATGGAATGCAAGAGTCTTGTTTTGAGCTGTTTATCCTTTGTTTTTCAAGATTTCGTAACATCTGTCCTAACGTCATAATCATGTGTCTTATGACTCATGGATAACGTATGCATTCACATACTATGCATTCAGATCCGTCGCTGTGTTATGTGGAAACATACGTCAAAATGAGCGTGATCTATCGCCGATGTCTCAACATGCGTGTGAACGTCACGCGTGGAATCGCCTTAAAATGTGACCGAGACTCTCCCTTTGAGGTTTCCACTCCCCTACATAATCTCACAGAAATTGTCCAATTCTGGACGTGAATGAAAATGCAGGAGTTATCGTCTACAGCGATATCTCCATGAGAAAGGAATTCCAGAATGGGAGCGATCTCTTGCATTGGCTTGAAGATTGCGCACCATCTACCGGCTACGACTTGTTCCAGGACACCCCCAAATTGCGCCCCCCCCCGCGGGCGCATGGCTCAATTTCTGATGTTTTGCGAAGGAAACCACTTCTCTACACACCGTAGGGAGTATGAGATATTTGCTTTTTTAACACAAATAATGAATTAAACCATCGAGAGCCCTCAACGATTTTACATACATTCTTAAGAACAGCATCGACCGATGGACCGTGTTCTCTCAGGTTCAATATCTTTACCAAAACATTTTGACGTTATTATCTCAGAATAACACCTGGGACGCTGAAGTCTGAAGATGTTTCAGTAGCTTACTGAGCAGTCCGTTCAACGCGATGATAGAGAGCTGTTCAGCTGTTTATTAGGAGATTAATGATTCTTGACTCCTGCTTTTTACACGGGCTGCTGGAAACCATACGACTTTAGACGCTACCGGTATCATACAATAATAAAAAAAGGAGAATAGTTGCAGAACATACAAATCTTTTGTGAAATAATGCATTAATAAGTAAAATGCACAAATGATGTTACACGTAAGTGCAACATATGAGATATTAAATCCAGTCTGGGACTATTTTTTTTTTAAAGCGTGCTTTTAAAAAAACGAAATCAACCTTAAAATATGAAATCAACCTGCTGGACACCTGTGCTTGAAATTGGGCAGCTGGTCTGGTATTAGAAGGGTCATCCTGTACAGTATGTACTGTATGTGTCTGTCCCTCAGTGGAAGGGTATGGTAGGCCTTAAGTGCTTACATTTTGAGAGGAGATTCTGGAAAGCCTAGTCTGAAATGTCAGTATGTGATACAGTAGGTCTTTGACGACACTAAAATTATAACATATGAAACCATTTTTTTTTTACATTTAAGATCTGCATTCCATTTGCAAACCAGCTCTATGCCCACTTGATGGTAGTAACCTGAGCAAGACCCCAGCGATTTCCAGTGTCTGGCTCTCCTGTTGAAATGTTCAGTTCCCCTGTGATCAATACTGTTACAGCCCTGCCAAGCCATGGAGAGGTGGCACAGAAGGTGTTAAAAACCACTGCACCTCTCCCTC